ATTGTGGATTTGTTAAGTTAATCCAATTCCCACTTTGCAAATCTGTGAAGTACCATCCCCTGGGATTGTGGATTTGTTAAGTTAATCCAATTCCCACTTTGCAAATCCGCGAAGTACCATCCCTTGAGATTGTGGATTTGTTAAGTTAATCCAATTCCCACTTTGCAAATCCGCGAAGTACCATCCCTTGAGATTGTGGATTTGTTAAGTTAATCCAATTCCCACTTTGCAAATCTGTAAGGCACCATCTCCTGAGATTGTGGATTTGTAAAGTTAATCCAATTCCCACTTTGCAAATCCGCGAAGTACCATCCCTTGAGATTGTGGATTTGTTAAGTTAATCCAATTCCCACTTTGCAAATCTGTAAGGCACCATCTCCTGAGATTGTGGATTTGTAAAGTTAATCCAATTCCCACTTTGCAAATCTGTAGATTTGAGATTGCGGATAGACATTATGAGAAATTAAATGGAGAATATGAATTAAAATGAGTCCTTCAGATTAAAGTAGATTTGTTTGTCCTTAAAAGAACAGTTACATTGTAGATATGTTTGTCTAAGGGATAAGAGCCCCTAGTACTCTCCATATGAAATGTGTGTAAAAGTATGGTAGAATATCTACTTTTATTAAATCATATTTTTTAGCAGAAACGACATTATTTTCACACATTTTATTTTTTAGCTTGTTCTTGCAGTGATGTTTCACAAGTTGCTTAGTGGGAATGTAACTTTAAGACAGTCACAGCAACATTCAAACAATTACTAGTCATATGACCAAGTCTGTATATTAGGAGTCTAATCACTTTACCATATGAGCTAATACAAAATCCAGTTACTTGATCAAGACTAACAAATTGAAAGTCTTTTCACAGTATAATGTTTTAATATGCCAACATTGAAAAGTTACTACTATAATTTACCCTGATTTCAATGATTCAAATCAGATTATTAATAATAATGATAATAATATCTTCAATACACCGTAATGAATAATGACAGTTCATCTTAGGTTAAAGTAATATGATATTGATTATAACTTTGACAAGATTTTGAATTTAGATTAGTATATTTTTTTTGTGTGGACACAAGCACATTTTCAATGGAACTAAAATACATGCACACAACTTACAGAATATAGTCCCGGAATCCCTTCTCCCATTGTGCTTGGTTGGTGAAATCATACACGTGGCACGCAAATGTTGTAAACACAAACAAAAAACATAGAAAAGCAAACACCCCTGAAGCAAAAAATAAAATATTTATGATCAATTCAGCAATGAAAGTGAACAGCGCCCTCTATAGGTGAGTAATATCCCATACAATAACTATCCTCAGGCGGACATCCAGGTACTTTTACTGCCAAGCAACCATTACGGTAAAAACAGAGGCCAATAACTCTCAAAAAAATGTACTTTGGGATGGTTGTTGAGACTCTCCTGAACAGTGTAACAAGATAACCCCTATATGTGTAGCATATATAAATTTGGTTGCTTAGGATTACTTCAAAACTGAGTTTGTGCTGTTTCCTTGACTTTAGCTGTTTTCACCGACTCTTCGACCAGCGTTCCACAGCAGCTCGCGCAGAGCCCTTAGAAATACATGGTACAGTGGGGCGCGTCTTAGCAACAGAACGTTCTGTGACGTAGCTCCGCCCTGTAGGATAGCATCTATTATTAAATCTTATTAGTGGTAGGTTTCTGACAAAGTTTTGTAATTTTCATTTCTAGAATTTTTGTACAATTTGTTGATTTTATGATGACAAAATTTGGCAGGAGTTACTGACACTGGTGTCATAGAACTCCAGAAAAATCAACCGCTACAAAATTTAACGATTTTCACAATGTTCGCAATGTTCACGAAAACTTTTCTTTCAAGGAATTGAAGTGGTTTATTCTAACCTCCTCATTATCTAATTCGTTATCTAATTCGTTATTTAATTTGTTATCTTGAATACAAAAGTGTACCAATTTCGAACATTTCAATTCTGCTTTGTGCAGAGCATCATGGGAATGGGAATTTGCATCAAACAAAAACTTTGAAAATGTCAGCGTTTATGCCACAATACACAGAATAGCAGATATTATCTCTATTTGTGTTAATAGCTGATAATTATCTTACCTGCATTTTCCCTTCACAACAAAAAGTTTGTATTGTTGAGCAACAAACTGAATCACCCAAAGTTTGAAAGAATGACACAGATGTGATGTATTCAAGGATAAGAAATCATTTCAGTCAGGGAACTTACCGATTCGTATTATAGTTTCTCTAATTTTATGTGAAGCTCTGTCATTCAGTAGTTCAGACTGTTCTTGTTAACACTGCATAAGGTGACCAGACCTGTGGTGGAATCAACAAAATAAATTCTAATCATCATGATGAACGTGATGAACCTGCCACCATGGTTACCATGCAACTATCTGTAGCCCTACAGTACAGTA